CACGTGATCTCGATGACGCAACAATATTATGACTTACAATAAGTCTGGGATTACAGAACTAGTACTTTGAAGACACAGTATCTTTGTGTCTCCAACTAATGTGTAATAGCTATACATGAAGAGTAGGTTTAAAGCTAAACCAAAATGTGGTATCAATATGATAGACTTGCAAGACATATCAGTGTATTTTTATAATATTGTTTAAAATGTTGTGTAGTTTGTTTTTTATAAATTACTTGCATTATATATTTCTAAAATTTTATTGTTATTTTTCCAACTTATTATTATTTTTGTAAATTTATTTTTCCTAGCAGTTGAAGAAGAGTAGAGAATTCCCCTTTGTTGGGAACTTACTTTTTAGTAGAATATATAGTAATGTAAATATATGGGTATTGTTATGTCTCCGTTTGTTAATTGATTTTCCGTAAATTCGTTCCGACGAAACTTTAGCGACACACAAGTCCTTTCTTAAATAAAACTGGTTTATTCTTTCCGAATACAACTTTACGATGCACTTGTTTTCAACAGTTGCGCTATAACAAACTATAATTCACGACTCACGAGCTCGACTTCAACAATATGTCTTTCTCTGACTGCAGTTCAATTACTCATTACCTACACACACATTGTCCCGTCACGTTGTGATCATCCTATATATACCAGACTACCCCCCAGTCTAGTAGTCTCCCGATAATTCCCGAAGGTTCGAGAGAAGGAGTGGCGTGATACTAGTCACATGACCTCGCTGACGCAACAGTATGTTGGGCTAAGGATTTTTCTACAGTAGGTAACTGTGACTTGTTGGCGATAAATTCAACAATAAACAAACAGCACACACTCCACTTGTTTTTAAAATAATATATGTATTTGAAATAAGTTAAATGTATGTACAAAATTCTTTACACTATGGAGATCATAGTTGTATCTTAAACACTATACAGCTCTCTTCTTCTTGTCAAAAGTTCACTTAGGCCAATTCCATTGCTTTATAATTCAGTTAACAAGCCAAACTATTTTCTCTATTTTTATTACAATAATATACATATATAATTCACTTACATTGTTGTGTGGGTTACTGCAGTTGTATCCAGAACTTCTAATAATCGTCTCCTCTTTATACTTCCAATAATCGTCTGCCTTTTGTCAAAATCCACACAGGTGGGTTCAATTAGTTTACAACACCCTTTGACGAGACAAGTTATTGTCCTCATCTCT